GTTCCCCACAAAGGCCTGGAAAGGGCTTCCTTCTTTTGCCTTTTTACCGACAGAACCAAGCTTGGTTGCCTAGCAACAGCCACTGAGGGAAAAGTTAGTCCCACAGGAGCCAAGAAGGAGAAGTGTTTTCATTAAGAGACACAGCCATTTTGATAGTTTATTCATTGAGGGAAGAGTGCCCGGACTGGCAGTGGGCGGGGGAGAAGAGCGGACCCAGCACCCAGCCAATAGCATGTGAGTACTCTTGAGTGGCGGTTGATGGGCCAATGGATGATGGAGTGCACTACACAGCCAATGGGAGAGCTGGAAATGGCCAATACATAAGGGAATTATATATATAGGATACTTTATTTTAAATATTGTTTTAATGTTATGCTGTCCACTGCCTTGGGGACCCTATTTGGGTGAAGAAGCAGCACAGACATGTTTTAAATAAATAAAATAAATAATTAAATTGTGGGATTTGCTGCCATTGGATGAAGTGATTGTAGTTCCACTGCCAGGCAGTTACTACCAGATCTCAAACACTCCTTTGCCAACCCAGCAGGAGGTTGAGCTGGAGCCCTGACAGGCAGAGCACTTCTGACTAATTTTAACCATAATCAGGAGTCAAGTTCCTCTTGCTCCTGAACCATGATAGGCTGCCACCAGACCTGCCTCATCCAGGAATGCAAGGCCAGGCCAACTCTGCTTCTTTTAGGACTTTGAGCAGAAATCCAAACCCTCTCCAGAGTCAGGAGTTCCACACATATATTATTGGTAGGGCCAAAAAGGCAACTAGCTAAAGCCTTCTGCAAACCCCAGACAAAACACACCAAACAGATATGTAACAAAAGTTGATAGATAGGTCTATCCTGGCTACTCGCCCTGGTGACTAAAGGGAACTTCCATAGTCAGTCAGCAAATCTCTGAATATCAGTGGTAGGAACAACATCAAAGGGAAAAGCCTTGCCTTCTGTCTCCTATTTATTGGCCCTCCAGGGCAACTGGTTAGCCACTGTTTGAAACAGGATGCTGAACCAGATGGACCAGCAGAGCAGCTTGTACGTTCTTACAGCAAAGATACCTTGAGTTTCTAATACTCTTTTTCCTCAAAAGGAAATTAACTGCAGTGGCTTCTCTGAACATTCTTTTGAAAGCAAAGCAAACAAAATCCAGTTATTTAGAACATTCTGCATGTGGTGGTGCCTTAACTAACCCAAAAGCAGAGCAGCAAATACTTTTTTCTTATTTTCCTATCCTTGATGGAAGGTGAGGCCTGGTTTTCTTTTACTATATAAGTCACTGGGAATGTTCCCTCTAAGCTGTGGAGTCTTCTGAGCAAAAATTCTACTTTGTGAGCTACTGGCATTAAAGTTGTGAGCAAACAATTTGGCTACTGCATAAGTTAGTTTGCTCTGGAGCTATCCTTTCTGAGCCGGAGGCTGAAAAACTGTGAGCTAGCTCACACTAACTCAGCTTAGAGGGAACACTGACTGGGATGACTACTGATGTGTATGAATCAGTCTTCCTAGCATTTATTGTGAAACTCCAAGATCAGTGACCCATTACAGTCCCTTTTCAAGATCTCTTTTAGTGTGTGATAATTAAATGAGCTAAATTTCTGTTCATTTCCAGTTGATCAGGCATATATGCCTGCCAGGGAACAGCAGTGGTTTTTCCATGAAAGGAATTGAGACTTTACAAAACTGAATTTTTTGGTGCTCCTGAACCAAGACTTCGGTGTTTAGGGTAGTTGTGGTTTTTGGCTGTACCACAGGCAATTGGAATGTGGGAAAGAAATTAGTTTGTATGGTGCTGCTTTTCAGTGCTACAGACCAGCCATTGAAATCTAAATGAAAATGCTGACAAATTGAGGTAAAAGGGGTGGGGGATGGGACAAGAGAGTAGATTTCCTCCAGAAGAGTGTTATGGTTTGTCCACCAGTGCCCTGCTTTAGCAGCTCTTTATGGCCATCTAGCCCAGGTTATAGGTTTATATATAGTGTACAAGAGAGAGCCAGTTTGGTGTAATGTTTAAGAGAGGCAGACTCTAATCTGGAGAACCGGGTTCGATTCCCCACTCCTCCACATGAAGCCAGCTGGGTGACGTTGGGTGAGTCACAGGTCTTTCAGAGCTCTCTCAGCCCCTAAAACCAAGTAGCTTTTAATCTATCTGAGCCTAATGAAATAACAATTCCATGGTTTGTTGGAAATCAATCCTATGCTATGCATGAAAGGAGGGGGAGTGTGTAAATCCAAGGTCTTTCCAGGCTCCTTGCAATTCCTGAATGCAGCGCCTATCAGCATTTGGTACAGGTTACTTAACACTGGACCCTTCCCTTTGGGGCTCAAATTCCCCATTTAGCTGTTGGGGTCCAGAAAGCATAGATTATTGTTAGGCAACCTCCTGGTGCTTGCTTGCTTCTTGCATATTCTCCATCCAAAAGAAAAAGGCTGCTTGGAATCTTAACTGAAGTAACATAATCCCATAATGGTCTATAGTGCAGAATATATGCAAAGTGTCATTTGACCAGTCTGTGTTCTTCTAAATGAGATGCAAATTGCTGAAGGTATGTCATTATGTCGATGGCATGATATTAGGTAAAGGTTTCTCTTGCTCAAAAGCCAGTCGAATCCGACTCTAGGGATGCGGTGCTCATCTCCATTTCCGAGACAAAGAGCCAGCGCTGACTAAAGACATTTCCATGGTCATGTGGCCGGCATGACTAAACACCGAGGCACACGGAACGCTGTTACCTTCCCACCGAAGTGGTACCTATTTATCTACTTGCAATTTCTTGCTTTCGAACAGCTAGGTTGGCAGGAGCTGGGACCAGAGCTGGGAGCTCACTCCATCATGCAGCACTCAGGTCTCAAACTGCCGAACTACCAACCTTCAGGTCTGCAGTTCAGCGTCTTAACCACTTGAGCCACCGCAGCCCTGACATGATATTACCGTATACACATAGCTGCAGGCTTCTGGCTCATGATGAGGTTGCATTGTGGCTCACAGAGGTGAAAAAGATGCTTAGTTTACAACAATATATTTAGTAGGAAGGTTGCAAAGGCCCATTAATGGTAAAGTTACAATTGCAAATAAAGCTACATTCTAAGAATATACCTTTCTCCACTTCCCTCATTGGTCCTAGGAAGAACCTGTGCCCCACTGGAATTTCTAACATGAGATAGCATTGCTCCACTGGCCGTTGCTTTCAGTGCTTATTTAAACCTTGTATAGGTGCTTAAAAAAAGGAAAAAGCTGACAAGCACAGGTGCAACCCTTGCTTTGATGCCTTTTAATTGATCTCCATTGTTTACTGGGATTCTTGTAGAAAGATAACCCAGAGGAGTGTTAAAATGTAAACAAAGAGTTGCTGGATACTCTGCTTTGAATACATGAATCTCCGGACTACATGTCAGCTAGCTCAAGTGCTTTAATTAGAGAAAAAAGGCTCTAGAAAGAAAGGCAATAACTTGCTCCAAAGAAAAGTACCAAATACAGGTTATAGCTCAGGGATTCTTTTTCTTCACCTGGTAACAAGGAAAATTTAGCTCCATTCTTTTTTCTATTAACTTTTTGCTAATGGGTAGCCTTTCTGTGGCCCATGTTAGTATGCAACATTTATTCAGTGAGCATGTGATTTCCAGTTCTTCTGAACATTAGACAAATACACTCCATCTCCAATGACGTCTCTTGTGGAACTGGCCAGATATGGAACTGCAGAATCCTATCCCTGTAATCTTATGTTAGTACTGGGGTGGGGGATACGGTTGTAGATTCTTCTGTTACCTCCAATTTTTAATCTATGTTTGCAGGATGGGTGTACATATGAGACAGAGTATCATAATTTGGGGTCCATCTTAAAAATATACAAAGCATAATCCAATACAGAGTGTATGCCTGTTTTGTGATGTGACCCAAAACAGCAGTAGGATACTGAAGTAAGGGAAGGGGTTAAGAAAAAGATGAGACAAGTAGAAACAAAATAATTACCCTATGATCTGCTCAGTAGATTACAAGAGGGTAGTGGATCTGGCCTACCTTAAAATATGTATCAGGTACAGAAAATAATAACCAAAAAAATCCCATGATTAATATTTTTGGAGCATTTCTTTTCAACTTGAAAGTTCAGGATCGAAAAGTCTGAAGTGGAAATTTTAGAAGTAGATTTTAATCTGCTGTATAGTTTAGCCCTCATCTAGTTTCTGCTTATTTTCTTATATGGTTATGGATTTCTTGCATATATGAAGGATGAACGAAAGTATCTGAACACACAAGGAAAACTTCTAGATGGAGCATAAAGATTGAATAATATAGGACAATCAAAATGAGCATTTGCTTCTTCCTGACAACTCTGCAGGAAAAAAAGGGGGGGGGGGAATAAAGCAAAAAAGGAGGAAAAAGCAAGGTCCAGTCAGGTATGTAAATGACAGCCTGACACTACATTTTACTTTGAGAGTAAATCCCACTGAGTTCTGTGATGCTGAATCGGGATTTTAGTATTAATACCGCTGAATACCGCTGAATGGGAATTTTAGTATTACATTTTTATAGCACGCCACCTGTAATTTACTGAACGAACAATCAATATTGGGAGCACTTTAATTGTTAACTGTTTACTGTATGATTGTTTTAACTTGTTTTTAATTGTTTTGTGTGGACTTGTGAGCTGCCCTGAGCCTGTTCGCGGGGAGAGCGGGATATAAATCCAATAATTAATTAATTAATTAATTAATGCTGAGTCCCAAATGGGTTTATGATTGAGGCCTTAGTTGTATCTCATTCCATTGGGGGATTAAACAGCTTGAAAGTCATTGTGGATTAAGTTCAGTGCTATTTGATTTGTGTCTAAGAACTGCATTTGTATTTCCCATGTTAGTACTTTAAATGGAAAAGTGAGATTGTTCAGAATGTACATTAGATTAATAAAATGGATCTGTTATGCTTTTGGTTAGTGCATGGACAGCTGCCTCCCCAGCACAGCATTTCTTGATGTTCTCTCCCTCTTTCTTCTATAGTAGATGAACAATTCTCCTTTAAATATAGTCCTGGAAAACTGAGGGGAAACCAGTACAAAACCCTGCTGACCAAAGAAGAACTTGAAGAGGAACAAAGGTAGGTTTCCTTTATTTTTGGCAGAACATTTGATGATCCTAATGTACTTTCTATTTTTTGCAACTTGCAACAAGGAACTATTTGGCTAGTACTTTTTATCCTATCTTCTAAGGATAGCATCTGTTTGCACCAGATATTTTCCTGGGAATTAATATGTGGGTAACCCCTCTGTGAAATCCCCTAACATGAGGAGTAGCATTGCCTAATTCCTTGGAATCAGATTGGTTGGCTAGGAATGGCTCCAGCCTCCCATTGCAAGGCAGGATCATGAAGATACTCAGATAAAAATTCCTTGAGCATCTAGAGATGTAAAATTTCTGGAAATTTTGAAGCTCGGAAAAAAACCCGGGTTTCCCCCAGTTTTTTTCGGGGGGAAACGGAAATTTTTGGAAAAATTGAAAAAAATGCTACATTAGCATTTCTTTTGTCTTTTCTAGATTGAAAGTCATTCTGTTACTTTAGGAACATAAAATATGACTATGGACATTTTTACTTGGCATGAAATTATCACAACTAGCATATTAAAAATATAGTGTATCCAAACAATTATTACAAACAGAATACCCACCCACATGCAAAAACAAAACTGAAACCTTTTTATTTTCTTCTGACAATAGCACCTCCTAAAGCAAGGAATGCATCTTGTTCTTGCATTGGAGAGTTCAGTTTGTAACCTAGGACTTGCTTGTCCTCAGTGCACAAAAATCAGATCAATCTGATACCATATATATAAATATTAGAAATGATTTGGAAAATATTTGAACACCTTATCTTAAAATATTTTATTCATCATGTTAAAATAAAACGTTCCATAATCAATTTATTTTATTTTATTTTTTCAATTTTTCCAATTTTTCGGAAAAAAACAAAAAAGGCTTCAGGAAAAAAACGGAAAAAACTGTTTTTTTCCTGAATTTTTCCAGGTTTTTTCCGGGCCTTCACATCTCTATGAGCATCTCAGACTACTAAGATTTTTTAAAAATACTCATAGCATTCTTTTATCAGCAGACACCATTAGGCAAGCTCAGTTTGAGAATATATATACATTCCATTGCTTGGTCTTGTTGGGTTTCTGGTGCAGTTAAGTCTGGTTGTGCAAGCACATTGGAAACTCAGCATGACCCAAAGATATTATTAATTATTTTATTTTAATGTTTATACTTGGCGAGCTACTTCAACCTGGTCCTTGGAGACTCAGCATATAGATAATCTAAATAAATAATGTGAGGTGGTTCATCCCTGTTCCCTTCATGAAAACAGATTCCGTTGACACAAAGCAGGGTCACACCTAAAGACCAGCCTATGGCTCACTTCACACTAGGGATACCAGGCCGCTGCCAGAATGTAAAGCATCTTTATTAAGCACCGTTAGTCTTAACGGTGGATTTGTGAGCTGTACAAATGCAAACATCCTAACTTAATCCCAGTTTATTCCTAGCTTGTTTGCTGGTGACGCCCTCCTGGCTGCAGAGAAAAATCAATAAGACTAGTATTGTTGAGGCAAACCAGGATCTGAATGATATCTGTGTGATTAATCTTGGTTTCACAAACTAAACACAGTTTTGTGTTATGTTTGAGCCGAACCAGGAGCTCTACAGTCAGGTTATGCAGAGGGATGAAGAAACCCTTGTCAGGCAGAGTTGTTGGAAGGAGGCTTCAGCATGGGGAAAAATGGCTGGTGTTATTTTTTGTGCCATGGGAGGCGTGGGTGGAAAACTAAAAAAGAGAGTGGCTGGGCATTTGTGTGTGTTTTACCGAGAAGAGTGCTTTGGAAATATTGGGAGACTGAAAGGCGTGTATGAGTGTGTGTGAGAGAGAAAGAGTTAGGTGGAGCAAACTTACCTGCAAGCTCCCTTTAAAACAATAAAGCAAAGCCTTTCCTTGAGAGTCCCACACCTTCCCAAAAAGGATTTTAAAAGCCTCTGCTGCTCCCTTTTAAAGTTCCAACAGGTTTTTATTAGGGGACTCAAGAAACACAGGGTTGAGCTTGGGTGTACATGTTTGGTAAAATCCTTGAATTCTCATAGGTATTTTTAACAAAACTCTGACCATCCTGTCATTCTGCTTGGAGTTGGGGGGATACATCTTCATGATGCTATCGAAGCGGGTGCCCCTGCAACGATGGTGGAGAAAAACAGTGAGGACCACAGGTAGTCGATGTCAGTCTTTGGAGCTGGTTCCACTTAAAATGGCTCTCCTCATAGTTTTTGTTTAAAAAAATCCATAATAGTTGGGGAAAAGAGATGGCTAGAGGGCATGTTTCTGTAAGAGTCGAAAAACTCCGAGGTCCTGTGGTCCAGGAGGTAGATTGCCAGCCAGTGTTCCCTGGGGATGCATATTAACCACTAAAGAGACGGATCTCCAGGTCACTCTTTTGGCGGGGAGCTGATCACTGGGGAAGATGCCCAAGAAGGCTTTACAGGTATGAGGGTTGTCAAGCAAGGCGCGTGATAACTGGATTGTGTCCATGTTACATGTAGTCAAAGAGCACGTTGCGGTTGAGCTCAGTGGCGTTGTCAAACACTCCGTACACGATCAAATTAGTGGTTTGGGGCAGAGCTGCTGCAAAATGTATTTCCGCTCTTAGGTTCCCCATTTTAATCAGGGAGTAATGGTCTCCACAGTCCTAATCAGGAGAGAGGTCAAAAGCCAACAGGGTGTACCCTACCTGGTACCCATCATGATCTAGTAGGATAGGTCTATCCTGAAGGTGCTTTCCCACCATTTGCAGGAGGCTCATGTATTCTCTCATATTGTTTTTCACTCCAGAGTCAGGCTGGAAGGGCTTGGAGGGGATCTGCTCTCCATCCACATACAGGGCTACAAAGTTTAGGGCCCATGAGGTGGCTTTTAATGGGACCTGGGGGACCCTTGCATGTAGTAGATCATTTTGTTTTCAGACCACCCCATCTTTTAAGAAACAGAAAGCCCGACCCTTCCTGGGGTCCGAGTTTATTCATAACACTGTGAGTCACGCGGCTCATGACATCCTGAGCAATATGGCATGCAGCTGTTTTCAAGTGTGGCTTGGCAATGTCTACACGTAATTAAAAAAGTGGTATGGCCATTTGAAAAAGCCATCGGAAAATCCTGCCCCGTACATAACAGGTGTGCAATGAAATCCAGGGAGAGCATAACCCTCCTGAGATTGGTAATATCTCCTAAGCATTGAGTGATCCTGTAATCTTTCACAATCACCATTTTTTCTGCAGCCAAATGTGCACCTCACAATGACTTTCCCGTAACAAAATGGCATGGGGCTGTTCTAATCTGTCTTTATCTCTATGCTGATATTCCTGGCTAAGAGTCCCGTTAGAAATCTGAAATGTCGTAGCCTTGGTAAATGTGTTTCAATTGTGGGGGCAGTGAATTTCAACCAGACCGATTTCTTTATCAAATTTTCAGCACACACCTCTCATTCTTCTTCCTCCTCCCCTTCCTCTTCTTCCCCGTCTTGTCCAGATTTCTTGCCTGCTGCCTCTTTCACAGCGGCCTCACAAAGCCCACAAAACTAAAGTTGTAGCCTTAGGTGCTTTTGTTGTTTTGTAGATTTCCTATGAACCCTTCCCTTAGAAATAAAGATTTTTACATGTAAGAAAATGCCTCCTCTCCAGTAAAGCAAAGATCCATTGCAATCTCTGAATATTTAACTATTTTGCCAATTTTTCCAACACTCTCAACCAGCCGGGCTTTTGATACCATGCTATTTCTCCACAGTGAGTGTGAACAACTCACTCGACTATGACAAATCGCCAATAAATTTGCAATCAGCCTCCAATACTATCCTTCATCCTCTAGCTGCAAGACAGATGAGACAATCCTGTTTTTCTACACTCCTGCTGTCACCTTCATCCCAACACCCCATTCTCCCCATGCTACTTACATTCTGAACACAGTCTTCCCATTCTTCTTCTTCTTCTTCTTCTTCTTCTTCTTCTTCTTCAATAGCCACCTCTTTCACAGGTTCAGATCCCTTAGGTGCCACAGCTTTCATTTCTTCATAAATGGGCTGTTCCACGACTGCAACCCCATCTGTCTCCACAGGATTCATTTCCTCATAAATTGGGTCTTCTATGGTGTGGGGAAACCAGAAACAGCATCAGCAGGTAACCTGCAGAATGGTGCCCGTCTCTCCCATTTTAAAGAGAATCCCCAGCCAGCTTTCCAGTGCTCATTGGTGTATTTAAATGTTGCCAGACACTCCCTTGCATGATGGAGGAAGGTGCCCCCAACCAAAAATGTTGGGGTCCACCCAACCACCCCAAAATCAGTGCCCAGAGGTCCATCTTCTTGATATGTGTTCATCAGGGGGTCACTCAATACCCCAAAATGAAACAAAACATTGTCAGTGTGGTCTGCACTGCAGGGTTGGTACACCCCAAAATAAAACACCTCCTAGCACCCCCAAACCACTCCTACCACCCCAGGACACTCCCCCCCTGACCTCTCCAAGAAGACTGGGGTTCTCTAGAGCATGCCTCTATACCATGACATGCACTGCAGGAACAGTGTTTTGTTTATTGCAATTTCCTACAATTTCTCTCCTCAGGATTTATTTAATGATTATTTATAAAGGTGGGGTGTGTGTGTGCCGCTTTGGGACATGGGGCAAAGCGAGGTGCTTTGGACACATTTGGTGAAATGGTGGGGGATCTGTCAGGGCTAGTCCACCCCCACAAAATGAAAAGAAAAAGGGGGGGAAATGAATTTCACCTGTCCCCATAGAGGGGCTTCAGATTCCTGAGTTTAATATAGCAGTGGATCCCTAGTACGCTAGCAGTCACAGCACTGAGAGAAGGGGCGATTCTTTATTTCTTTATTATTTTATTTGAGACAGAGAATGGAGAGAGAAGGTGGGGAGGGAATTGAAATGCTTTTTACTCCTGTAGGGGCTCAGCTGTGTGACAGCTATAACGTGTCAGGGTTCAATAGTCAGATCACACCACACAGCGCTTCATAAGAAGAATTCTGTTTATTGGTATTTCATAACTATGACACGT